GTGTGGACGGGGCCTAAAATTAAAACCCGCCAATGTGAGGTTTCCTCTTAAAAGATCAACACTTTTTGTACTTTGCAGACTGCAAATAAATACTACCTGCTAAGAGTTGTGATGGTGACAATAATGGAGAAAACAAATAAATATATCAGAAATGGTAGAGATAGTTTTAAACTGTAGTAACTTTTTTTTTAAATAAATGCAACAAAATTCACAATACAAACAGGCATAGCTAAGATTACAATCCTGTTTTTGCTTTTAAAGAGTACAGAACACAAACAATTTATGTAATCAATCCATACATACAATAATAATAAACAATAAAGAGCCTTTTAATGGACAGCACTTTAATGGAGACTTTAATAAATAGGATGGCCATAAATTAAACCTGTAAAGATTTGCATTTAATACAGAGTGGGGATAAAGTGCACTAAGAAAAGCCTCTGTGGATAAGGAAACCTTATCGTATCATCAGGGGAGGGGGGTGAGGGTTTATGAGAAGTGGCCAAGTGCACAACGCCAAACAGCGAAACAAAAGATTCCTTTTCAATTATTTTTATCTCCAGTTCACATCTCTATCTTTGAGTTTTGTCTAATGTTCTCATTGTGATTTTTTTCTGTCACAGTGAGCCGATCAAGCTGCATATCTTTGTGAAAACATCCCACAGCTTGGTGTTATTGAAAAAATTGTGACTATCGCGTCTGGATGCATAGAGAATAGTTTTATAATAAATATATGCAATATATATGCAAGAAAACAGAAAATTCATCACAAGGCGTATAGAAAAAGAATGCCAAACTCCAAGGAAGATAAAAGTCTGAAGAACCATCATCTCGTAACGATACTATTTACAAAAGTTAAAAAAATTAAATCTTTAACAATCTCGGAGGCTAACATGCTTACTTTCCTAAACTCAAGTTACCGTTAGTCTTCTTGCATTTTGTCCTCAGTGTATACAGGTGCTGGTCATAAAATTAGAATATCATGAAAAAGTAGATTGATTTCAGTAATTCCATTTAAAAAGTGAAACTTGTATATTATATTCATACATTACATACAAACTCATATATTTCAGATGTTTATTTTGTTTAATTTTGATGATTACAAATGACAACAAATGAAAATCTCAAATTCATCATATCAGAAAATTAGAATATTACTGAAGACCAATAAAAACAAAGGATTTATAGAAATGTTGGCCAACTGAAAAGTATGAACATGAAAAGTATGAGCATGTACAGCACTCAGTATTTAGTTGGGCCTCCTTTGGCCTGTATTACTGCAGCAATGCGGCGTGGCATGGAGTCGATCAGTCTGTGGCACTGCTCAGGTGTTATGATAGCCCAGGTTGCTCTAATAGTGGCTTTTAGCTCTTCTGAATTGTTGGGTCTGGTGTATTGCATCTTCTTCTTCACAATACCCCATAGATTTTCTATGGGGTTAAGGTCAGGAGAGTTTGCTGGCCAATTAAGAACAGGGATACCATGGTCCTTCAACCAGGTACTGGTAGCTTTGGCACTGTGTGCAGGTGCCAAGTCCTGTTGGAAAATGAAATCTGCATCTCCAAAAAGTTGGTCAGCTGCAGGAAGCATGAAGTGCTCTAAAACTTCCTGGTATGTGGCTGCGTTGACCCTGGACCTCAGAAAACACAATGGACCAACACCAGCAGATGACATGGCACCCCAAACCATCACTGACTGTGGAAACTTTACACTGGACTTCAAGCAACGTGGATGAAGTGCCTCTCTTCTTTTCCTCCAGACTCTGGGACCTTGATTTCCAAAGGAAATGCAAAATTTACTTTCATCAGAGAACATGACTTTGGACCACTCACCAGCAGTCCAGTCCTGTTTCTCTTTAGACGCTTCTGACGCTGTCTGTGGTTCAAGAGTGGCTTGACACAAGGAATGCGACAGCAGAAACCCATGTCTTTCATACGTCTGTGTGTGGTGGTTCTTGAAGCACTCACTCCAGCTGCAGTCCACTCTTTGTGAATCTCCCCCACATTTTTGAATGGGTTTTGTTTCACAATCCTCTCCAGGGTGCGGTTATCTCTCTTGCTTGTACACTTTTTTCGACCACATCTTTTCCTTCCCTTCGCCTCTCTATTAATGTGCTTGGACACTGAGCTCTGTGAACAGCCAGCCTCTTTAGCGATGACCTTTTGTGTCTTGCCCTCCTTGTGCAAGGTGTCGATGGTCGTCTTTTGGACAACTGTCAAGTCAGCAGTCTTCCCCATGATTGTGTAGCCTATAGAACTAGACTGAAAGACCATTTAAAGGCTTTTGCAGGTGGTTTGAGTTAATTAGCTGATTAGAGTGTGGTACCAGGGGCCATCAATTTTGAACCTTTTCACAATATTCTAATTTTCTGATATGATGAATTTGAGATTTTCATTTGTTGTCATTTGTAATCATCAAAATTAAACAAAATAAACATCTGAAATATATGAGTTTGTATGTAATGTATGAATATAATATACAAGTTTCACTTTTTAAATGGAATTACTGAAATCAATCTACTTTTTCATGATATTCTAATTTTATGACCAGCACCTGTATTTTTCTAGTGAGTCTGCACCGTTTGCAGAAACACACAAAAGCAGTTCATGCACAGTGCATTAACCTTGAGACCCTCACTACAGCCAAACTCAAAAACAGAGAAAAATTTGCAAGAGCTCCGTTCTCATGGTGACCAGCGCTCGTTCAGCGTCTGGTTCTTATTTGACTCCTTTAATTGGGGAGAATGTCACAATCAATGTTTTGCTTTGGATGCTGAAACAGACGATCTCCTACTCATGTTACTTGAGCCAACCGCTTCGTCGGCTGCTATAAAACATTCACACACACAAACACACACACAGACATTTTAAGAAGTACACACACTGCCAGGTTTTCCTGACATGCTTTCTTTATTCTGTCTTGAACGCACCTGGCACACCATGACAGGCTTCCTTCCAACAAAGTGTTTATAACAAAGTCAGTTTCTTTAACATGAGCCCCATCTTTCAGCTTGAACTTGCCAGGAGGCCCCTCGGTTACCAACTGCACTCAGCCAAGTAGAATAGGAAAGACAGAGAGACTAAGAGAAAAGTGAAAAGCAGAGGGCTCAGCAGTCCAGAATAGTTTGCCATGAAGATTTATGAAATCCCATATCCAACGTGACCCCATACTCTATTTGATATAAGACGAAACCTCCGTGTAGCATTTCTGGGCGTGTGCTAATGTACGCTATGGGCCCAAACTAAAAGTGGGACAAATTGTGAACTATATGGCTGGGGGAGGAGAGCTTATGTTGGAGGCTCAAGGTTAAAGATGCTATTAGTTTGAGGGAGGTAAGCTGGCTGTGGTGCTGAGGTAGACGGACTATTTTTCTTGGGAGCAAGCCTTGATCTGCACTACAGCTCAGCAGCAGCTCAATAAGCAGCATTTCTTGTCTTTTTCAATGTTTCTATGCAGTCTGTTGGTGATGGATCCACTTAGGGATAACAACAGAAATTTGACCTAAGGTTAATTATCATTAATGGTTTATTAGATTAAACTTTGTTCTACCGATTAATTCATAACCATCACTTGAAAGCGATTTCTGCCAGTGTTGTAGTGCTACTTCCCTGCTTTAGAGGGTGCTAATATTCATTCTCAAGCTGATCTTTACAAACATTTGGAAGAGCAGTAATGCTGGAGTGAAGACATGCAAAAGCAGAAACATGATTCGATCAAGAATCACGTCCAAGATTATTTGCACAGCTCAATGATGAATAACGTCACCAGGTCGGGTTCGGTCGCCCTGTCCCCCGCTGGCTCCCTGTTCCCATCTGCCGGGGTTCCCGGACCAGCCCCAGAGCTCATGGTTCGGTTCGAGTGCGTGGTGTGTTTCGACTACGTACTGCACTGTAGTCGACCAACATCCCGGACAATTTTGAAATTCCCCCTGGACATTTTTTTAGGTATGCAATGCAGGACATTTCAGGGAAAAAGAGGACGTCTGGTCACCCTACCATATTAACATATTTGAGGTTTCAGTGAGAGAGTGCTTGTTGCTATGATGCGTCTTTGCTCATCAGCTTTGCTCGTTGTAAACCAACCAATCAGCGCACAGCTCATCTAAATATTCATGAGCATACAATAAAATGAAGAAAACCTGTCGTTTCATTCTGGGGCTTATAACCAGGCTTGCATTAGGGCTCATAGAACAGCAAATATGCCATTTTCAGCCCAACCAATGTTACACACCCTATTCAGAGATCCTTAAGGACCAGCACCAAAGAACCTATATAACAGGAAGAACGGGATGAGAGAGACACTTTGTAAACCTACAAAAGCCATGGCTGTTCACCCTGAACTGACCATAGAAGCCAACAGAGATGCAGCAAAGATGCCTATGATAAATGTACAGGAGCTGCAGACATACTGTATCTATCATCAATGGCCTCAGACAATCAAAAAAGGGAAAATCCTGGGAAAAAAGGTGATAGAAGGTGATAGATAAAGGTGACAGGGACTTTGGCAAATGGTCAATAGTCCATGTTCTAAGAGGACAATAATCCTAAACTTACAGACTGAGCTCCGGCTAGAATAGCCGGATTGATAGACCAAACCGAAATCTAACGGAGAATCCGTGGTAATGCTTACAGAATATATGTTAAAAAGACATCCTCTACCTCCAATCTAACAGAGTTTGAATTTTAAGAATGGGCAAAAATGTGCTTAACTACATTTAGGCAAAGCTATTAGATAGCATAATGTGGAATTCTGTTTTGGTTTATAACATAAAATTGAAAAACAATGACTTTTTGTACTTGAATACTGTTGCCAATCATATGTGATGGTATTATTATTATTATTATTACAGCTTTGGAATAATATAGAGGGAGAAGGCTTGATGCAACTAATCTTACGGTTACAGTGAGATTTTAGCACCACTAAAAGCAGGGATGGAAGAAACAAACACTCTGCAGCAAAAGCCTTATTAAAGAACTGTGACAGCAAGGGCACTTTCTCACCTGTGAGGTTTTGGAGCAATGGGCTGAGTTCTGTCTCCTGTGTGATGACCAGCGTGAGTGCTCCTATCAGCTCCCGCTCCAGCTTCTCCAGCTCCTCCTCCCCGGTATCTGCCTGCTGCGCCTCCGCAGCCAGAGAGTAGAGATAGACCAGGAGGAGGATCAGCTCGTCTGGCCCGCACTCGTCCTCTCTGAGCCTGGACCCTGAGGATGAGCTTTTCTCACCTCCGCGGGGCTTCATCAAGGGCAGCAGCTGCCTCAGCACAGCGGGGAAATCAGAGTCGCCAAGAGCCTGGAGTTATACACACATACGATTTGTTTTTATAATAGGATAATTCTTGAAATTTGGCCACAGAAAAGTTAAGGTTGTTAAGGTTACTCAGGTCAGATAAACAGTCTGCATTTACCCATACTTGACTAAGTCACATGCAACTTTTTAACATGGTTGACCAATCAAAAACTCCTAGTGTTTTACTCTACATCTGGTTTGTATTCCTCCCCTATTAACGATATATCCCTGTTTGTAATCCAATCCTAAAGCTTGACAGAATAATGTTAAATAATATTTTAATTGTACTTTTTATATAAATGAGGACATTTTCTCCCTCAAATTTTCCTCCCATAATTGTGGCAAGCATGTCTTATTCAGTCTGCATTAAGCCACAGGATATTGTTTCCAAAGTCTATCCCTTCTTAATAGATATTAATTTGTAAGGAAACAGGAAATGTTTTCCTTCAATAACTTTTCCATGAAGGTCATGTTATTGCAGGTGTGGCTGTAGAGGAAAACTGAGCCAGCTACACTTTCATTGCCTTCTCTAGAATCCCACAATTAGTTTTCTCCACATTTCCTTGGATTCATACAGACTGTGCAATCTTGTTCAACACCAGCTAAGGCAAAGGCAACATTAAACTCTATTATTTTCCATAAATGCTTCTCTACAGTACTGAAAATGGTACAGAAAATCATGTTTAACACACTTCTATATGGAATACCAAGTAGGTGTGATGGGTTGCAGAGTAATATATTCTACTTTTATTACAAACTGTTAATAAACTAAAAAGGTACAGTGTAAAACATAGAAAAAACTGCAAATGCAACTAACTGGTATTGGTCAAATCAAGCTCGCCGAAGATGAAAGCTTCAAGTTTAACGTCTTCTGGCCAGTAAGGGGCACATTCTCACTTAATTGCTCTTATTGTGTACTAACTGTTACCAGATCCACTAAACGGATGCTAATGATATTTATATTTATAATATTTATACATTTTCAACCAATCAAATGTATAAAACTATTATCTCTATAGTTTATATATGGCACCACACAAGTTTTTTTTTAAATTAATGATCTGGATGAAGTTGTTGGAGCTGTGACCTCTGAACGTTGTTTGCTTTTAAGTAGTTACCAAATATAAGTTTCTACATTTTCTATTTATTAAAAAATAATATTTAGTGAAAAAATTTGTGACAAAATCTATAATGGTCAATGATAACATAAACCAGTAGAGACCAGTTGCAGCGCAATCAAAAGCTTGCCAAAGGTTTATAGGTAGACCCTGAATGTGTAATAACCAGAAATAGGGGAATGCACATGCTATCTTGGCCGTGTTGATAACACCAGGGGTTTGTTGCATATTTGCAACAGTGGGCGCCAAGGGGTTAAGGACAGAGATCTTCTTTTAAGTTTTATTAAAGCTCAAATTCAAATTTCAAAAATTTGCAAAAACTTGCACTTCACCAGTACAACCTCTGATTGGAGTAGAATAGAAATCAGTTCCTATACTAAGGCGGGCAAATATTCTTTGTTTGTTTTAGTAAATGTCGAAATATAAACCTTCAGCCTGTGCATGACATCACTGTTCCCTTTGCTAATCTTACAGCTGAGTTGCTGCTTTACTTGGTCTCATTCTTTTTTCTTTAATTTTCATAGTACCTCTTTTTACTCTAAAAAACTTTCTCTTTTCAACAAAATCCAAGAGACAATGAAGCAATGTTTTAAAATAGTAATCTGCTTCTGTGATTATGTCTGTACAGGTTGGAGAAGTTAGGAACTCTCTGTGGCTGAATGAGGCTCTAGTCCAACAAGCGACAGATCACACAATCCTTCACAGCCCATTGGCCACTCTTACAGCCAGGGTGAGCTCATAGACCAATAAACAAGGGTGTGGAGCCAATCTGTATGATGAAAAACATGAAACTCAAATGAAAGACTGGTCGAAGAATGGTAAAAAAAGGAAATAATGATCAAGAGATGGGAAAACTGAATAATAAAACCCAGAAGAAAGGCAACCAAGACGGAAACTAAGATACAAGATTCAAAATGATAGAAAGGAACCAATTGTTGAGAGTTTTACTGGTGAGTTTGTGTCAGATGGAGCTTTATATGTCCCTGTAGATACTTTTTGGAGCTCTGTGGTCCTTTAATCAAGACAATGACAGGCTGTTGTAGTTTAGGTGGGCCAGCCAATGGATGCTCTATGTCTGACCCAGAGGAAGTCTCTACAAAGCCAAGTCCAGTTGAGGCCAAACTCCTAGAACAAGCTGACTTTTTCAAAGGAGTCAAACTCAGTCGTTCTTAATGTGTGATTAAGTACTCACTTTCCGTACTTGAGTAAAAGTACAGATACTTGTGTTAAAAAATACTCTGGTAAAAGTGGAAGTACTGATTAAACTTCTTTACTCAAGTAAAAGTAACAAAGTACAGGCTTGTACATTTACTTAAAGTATAAAAGTAAAAGTAGAAACCACTTTTTTTCATGCCGCTGCCTACATTTTAAATGGATGTCTGCCAATAGGACTACTCCATACTACTATGCTAACGCCACCGCCACCAAGCTGCAATGATTTGCTGGGAATGAATACCGCCCAATCTGTCGATTCATCTTTGTGAGATAACGGCTCGCCAGCTCCCGTCTCACGTCAGAGGAGGTGTAAGCAGATGACTTGCAAAAAGGTGGTAAGAAACAGCGGATGACAAAATTCCAGTTCAAAAGTGTGTAGTGGTTTATTTACTGGTGTGACGGTGAAGACAAAAAAAAAAACAAACAAACAAAATACTTTCAAATAAAGAAAACAAAACCGGCCATTGCAGGCAATACAAAACACTGACAGCCTCACAGCAAGCTGACTTTAAATATAGTCTCTCTAAAGCAGACCTTCAAAAGCAGTTTCTCCAACCAGTCTCTCCAAGCAGCCCTCCCAAGCCATTGGGAGTGTGCCCCTTAAATAGAACCACCAATAACCAGCCAATTGGGACAGCCCCACTAAACAGGAAGGCAAATCCCCAATAAAGCACAGTTAACATTGTAGAAAACAAAATACAGACAATAGCATCATTCATACAAAAAACATACATAATTATGAAATAGTTTAACCATGCTAACAGTCCCAATTCACCTACTAATTACCATGCTAACAATTATTACAGGTACATACATTGAAATCCCACTTAACACCCCTGTCCCCACATAGTATTTTCCAATGCCCTGGGACAATGGATAAGAGACTGGCTCTGATGCGGTACGTGTTTCCACACGGACCAGTATGCTGATGGACCAAGGCCGAGAATGTGTAATTTGACTGGGAAGTTTTATTACCGACTACGGAATGTATACTGAAGCTGTCGCAGTGGGTACATTCAGAGTTTGCTACGCTGGTGAGTAAGTAAAGTGTTGAATGAAAGGTGACGTTGTAATTTCGGAACTAGTGTAAATTACCGGGTGAATTGTTTGGAACTGCCGCCGCCATGACGGCCGGTCTGTGGTGCATGCTGGGAAATGTAGTAAAGACGCGACGGTGTGTGTGATAGATGGCGGCTATACTTTAGAAACAGAGGGGGAAAACGGCTTCGTTTTCACAATCTTGTAGTGGTGCGTCAAATGCAACGTATTGAATTTGGTGAATGTATTGAATTTGGTATTGATGACGTGAAAAATAATAACTGTAACTCCATTGAAATGATTCAAAGCTAAAGTAACGAGACAATTTTTTTAAATGTCAGGAGTAGAAAGTACAGATATTTGTGTAAAAATGTAAGGAGTAGAAGTAAAAAGTCGCCATAAAAATAAGTAGTAAAGTAAAAATATCAGAAAAATCTACTTGAGTACGGTAACAAAGTATTTTTACTTCGTTACTTCCCATCTCTGGTGATTATAAATAAAGTTAACAGAAGATTGAGTTCTTCATCCATCCTAACCCTATCCTCAGGTAATCGACCGGAGTTTTGTCAGATGAGCATATCCGGTCAGGCCAGCATACCCATAGTCAATACCCGTTTATCCCTTTAGTCTATCCCTTTAGTTTTGTAAGAAAAATACACTTTAAACTACCTCAACACCACTTGTACACGAAGGGATACATGCCCGTCGAGGTAGTTTAAAGTCTATTTTTTGTATAAAACTAAAGAGATAAACGCAAATCTGATGACTTGTGCATGCATATTGACTATAGGTATGCTGGTCTGATGGGGTGTGCTGATCTGACAGAACAGCGGCTTAGTTTTTCTGGGAGACGTTCCTGAAGTCCGCTCATTTCAATGAGGCCTCTTTCCCCCTTCAAGGGCCAGCCAACTCACCCTTAGGGACCATTCAAACATAATCTCACCACACATTTTTCTTTTTTAGCGTTGTGAAATCAAATACCTCTCCAAGTTGCACTCATCTGCTCTACCAAACAATGTTTTGGGATCTCTACCCAGCTCATTTCTGCGGAGAGACAGAAGAAATGAGCTGTAGAGTAGAGAAATACAGAAGTAGTACGGGGATTTTTAACGGCACGCCCCTGAGCACGTTCCTGTTCAAATCCACTTGCATTCAACCCAAACAGGTCTGTCTGCATGTCTCTCAAGAAAATACTTATTGATACTTTAGCCTCTCAAAATGGATGCCATGGCCAACAAACAGCCTTTTTATTTCAGAATGCTCTGTTGCTATACAGATTTGTCATCAGACGCCATTAGCAAAGGGGAACAGAGAAAATAGAGTTGAGGGGGCTCAATTGTTGTAACTTTTGGACCTTTTCCAGAATGAACATACTAAATTTAGATCCTTAGATTTTAGAAAAAGTCTTTTAAATAAGTAATGAATGTAAATCAGCTGTGCTGAAGCAGGGAAACATTTAAAAGCTGTAGGAAAGTGGATCTCAAGGACCGACTGGGCATCTTAGACTAATCAAAGCTGGACAAAATTATAATATAATGAATGTACCCTTCACTTTACCTTTGCCAATAACAAATAATGAAAATGAAGGACTATTGGGCAAATATTATCAGAAATATTAATCTCTCTTCCTCT